AAAGAAACGTGTAGAACCTCTGCGCTTACATGCTTATCATGATTTGTGCGTAAAATTCCACCAAACAGTATGTTGTTCTAAGAGGTCGTCGATTGGTGTGTTATCAAATGCGTACTTCGACTGGTGCGGATAAATGATAAAAGCTCAAATAAATTCTGCAGGTAATCCACAATGGTAAGGAAGTAAATGAGAAAGTAAATGATTTCAAGACCCTTTTTCAATTTTTTGAATTGTCTCGGTTGATCATGAATGCATAATCGCATGTAATGGTCGCCTAGTGCAGTTTGCTAGAAATGTGCGCTCTCGATAAAAGGATTATGACGTTATTAGTTAGGGTGGGAAAACAATTTTATCCACTTTTGGGGGAGGATATTATGTTGCTAGGACGATTACGCTTCAGGTTATCCTTAAGGAAATTCATTTATCAGAAGCCATGGTACGCTCACGGTATCGTGCGCAGACGAACTGGTAAAGGATCCTACTTACAATAAAGCGCTTCGTGTGTCGCCTGCCGTCAGTCTGTCGCCTGTCGTTATGTAGGTCTGTCACGAAATTCCTTAGCTCCTTTAGATCTGCCTGGAGAGATCTTATCAAGCATGGGATGGGTGGGCCATTTCCCGAGAAGTATAAAGCACACATTAGCTTGGCGGAGCCCTGCCCACAGTGGGCGTGGCGTGCACCGAAATGAGCCGTACTGAGGGCCATGATTTGAAGTTCAGTCACAAGACGGCTTCAAAACTGGGGTTTAAAGGTGGCTTGAGGTGTGCATTGGTGAGTTAGATCGAACCGGGGAGATCCACCCATTTGATTTCCATTCAGAATCGTAGTGGCCTACTGAATGTGTATGTGGCCATGCAATTATGTATAGTGGCCAGCCAATAAATAAGCCAGTGTTTTCGTCTTACCAGGCTAGTCTGGCATCAATTAGCCGACCCTGAAGGGATGGCAGGCTTGGTTAGCACAGGCGGATATTGACCAGGGATTCGAGTCCGTTGCTATGAGTGTGTTATAGTACGCTTATTGCCGCTACACTACCTCCGCTCTCCGCTCCACACCCAAGCGACGTATAACTCATTAAGATCCTGTGTGTAAGCCTATAATATAGCATTATAACGCGAATAGGGCCTTCTTCTTTTTCTTTTTCTTCTAGCGTTAATCCCGCGCCGTCGCAGGGTCCGCTATTCTTGTCAGCATCTCCATTTCATTCTATCTACGGCATCTTCTGCCGTATCCTCATCTTTGGCAAGGTCCTTCTTGATCACGTCCCGCCTCTCTTCTTTGGGGCTCCTCACGGTCGCTTCCCTTGAGCCTCGAACTCCCCTTATCGAATGGCTCTGTGGTCTTCTTGGTACACGCTCGAACCATCGCAGGCGTTGCTCTCTCATCTTCAGTCGAACTGGGGTTGTTTGCATACACGTCCTGACGTATTCACTTCCGATCCGATCAGCCGCGTCCAGGCGCAGGCCCATCTGAGCATTCTCATTTCAGCGGAGTAGAGCTGTCCTCCGAAGGTTTTCCTTATCGGCCAACACTCGCTGCCTTAGAGCATCGTGGGCCCGAACACTGTCCGTTACACCTTTCTTTCGCGCGTCATGGAGCACTCTAGTGAACTCCCTCCACTTCATCCACGTCGCGTTTATTCGGGATTTTACGGCCTGTTCCAAGAACCATCAGCGGCTAGATCACTCCCACGGTATCGAAGTCCTATACCTTTTCGACAGCTTCCCGTGACCGTCGATGATTGACTTTTTGCCCTCCTAGGAGCTGAGGAACTTGGCCTTCTTCACGTTCAGCCGGAGTCTATTCTCCGCCAATACCCCTGGAAATTCTGGAGTTTGTCCTGGAGTTCCTCCTTGCTCTCCGCTATCAGAGCGATGTCATCAGTGCAGAGGATGGTTTTTAGGGGTCCATCCATGAGTTCTTCTGTGAAGACGTCCATCGAGGAAGAGGAACGGGCTCAGAGCAAGTCAGTGGCACCTATTGTTCCGGTTTGGCCGTGTGCTGTGTGTATTGTTGTCATCGTACACGTCCTTGACCACATAGACCATGGGTTCTGGAACGTTTCGTTTTCGGGGCGCTCTCCAAAGGATTTGTCACAGGAGACGGTCGAATGCCTTCTCCAGGTCGAGGAAGGCTAGGTAGCGAGGTACACGCTTTTCTCGATACTCCTTCATAACTGGTTTCGCTACGAAGGTGGCATCCGTTGTAGAGCTTTCAGGCACGAAGCCGAACTGCTCGTGCGAGATTGGGACCAATTCGCTCAATTTTGAGTCGACCAGCCGCTCGTACAGTTTCATCGTGTGATCAGTCAACCTGATCCCCCGGCAGTTGGAACACTCCATCGCGCCCTCCTGCTTGCACATCTTTGATTCTTCCTTCAGTTGTGACACTGCTCAGGAATCGGGAGAGCCACTTTAACCTGTGCTCTTCGAGCGCCTTCCATGCCTTGATCGGTACTCCATCCGGACCAAATGCCCTCCCAACCTTCATCTTTCCTATTGCTCTGCGCACTTCATCCTCTGTCCAGAGTTCGATGGGGCCAGCCGTCGCCTCTTACAATAAGTTCGGAATTGTTTTCACGGGCGAATTCTTCGTTGGATGCCTTCGAACTATTCCTTCCACCTACGCCTGGCCTCGCCAAGCTTCCTCAAGATTCCACCCTCGTCGTTCCTAACGCACTGTACTACCCCGACGTCCTAAGCGGCACGGTGACGCGCTTTCTCAAGGCGGAAGACGAACCACTCTCCTTCTCGACTGCCAAGTTTTTCGTGCAGGGCGTCCATTTCCGTGATCTTAGCCTTCGCTACAGCAGCCTTGACGAGTGTCTTGGAAGTTCTGCAGGCAGTCAGGTCCTCTGAACCTCGGGTCCTTTGCCAGCGCTTGTAGGCCGATTACTTTCGCCTCACAACTCGCTGGACTTCATCGTTCCAGAACCATGCTTCCTTGTTCCCTCGAAAACCACCTCGAGTTCCCCCAAGCGTTTCCTTTGCACATCGTAGGGTGACGTTGACAGCGTTTCCAGGTCTGCTGGATCGGCCTTCGGGATCGGGAAGTCCAGCTTCCAGAATCTTCTCGAGATGTTCTCTTTCAAATCGGTGCAGCTTCCATCACCGGATCCTCCGTTCCGTTCTGGTCCTTGATTTCGTGGGAAGATCGATGGCTATGTCTCTTAGGAGGGGCCTGTGCTGTGGAGCCAGTTCTTCTCCAGGCAGTACCCTGATGTCTTTTGCAGTTTTGTGGGACCATCTTCTTACGAGCGCATGATCTTTCCCGTTTCTTTCCCTCCGCCACGGTAAACCTTGGGACATCCTTTTCGCGAAGAAAGTGCTGTCATGGGCCATGGCCAAGCCGTAAACTCTTTCTCCTTCGTTTCTAACTTCTATTCCGCTCCCTCCATGTATCCTTTCCAGTCCCCCTTTCGCTCCCTACGTGCCCATCCAGGTCACCTCCTATAGTGAAATAGTCCCCTTCCAGAACTGATAGGATGGCCTCGTCAAGGCTCAGGTAGAACTCATCTTTTCCATAGACGGGACCGCCGGCTCGTGGTGCGCGCACTGATATTATTGTCCAGTACCCCTCCGTGACTATCCTTACAGCCATGAGTCCACTGCTGATCCTGTTGACGGCGGAGGCATAGGCTTTCAGAGATTCTGCCACTGCTATGGCCACACATTTCGTTTAGTGTCTTCTCCGTTGATGAAGAATTTGACACCCTCTCCAATTTTTCCGGCCTCTGCTCCCCTCCAGCGGGTCTCCCAAAGAATATGACTCGTATGTTCCTGCGCTTTATGAGATCAGCGACCTCTTGGGACTTTTCAGTAAGCGATCCCATGTTCAGAGTCCCTATTCGAATTAGCTTCTATGGCCGATGTCGTTCACGCCTCGCATACTATCCACAATACTCAGGCGGGGGTCTTGTGCGCCACTTCTGCTTGAGGTCCTAGCTTTATCAATGATACTTTTTAAGACTTCAGACATGTTTGTTGTGACTAGGTTTCTTCATCAGCTGGCCTGTCAACCTGGGCCTAACGCTGGTGCCGATACGATTTTTGCAATTTTTGCAAGGCATGGAGTTCTCCCTACAAGGATTGAACTCGCACTCTCTCTAACAATAGGTGCAGACGTGAGCCTACACTCTTATCTACTGGCTGTCACCGCCCTAAAACGTGAATAGAGTATGTTAAATTATCCTGACTGCATGACGCGCTCTGTTCTCTCTGTTTGTCTGTCTATTTTTCCGACTGCTAGGATAACTTAAGCATATACTGTGCATCTTCTATCTGTCTATCTATCTGTCTGTGTGTCCACTTGTATCAGACTGTTTTTCTGCCTGCTGTCGGCAAGATCAGCAAATGTAGCGGGGCTCAGTGATTTCCTTCCTTGATATACTGTTAGGGCACGTTTCTCTTGTAATGAGCGAAGCGAACTGACTGTTCATTGATATGCGAGTAAAATCAAGCCGGATTGGAGCAGTAGAAGGGGCGATTGAGAAGATTGAAGAATAAAGAAAAATACGAGCCATTGTCAAAATGAGGTGCCTTTTTAGAGAAAGTTTGCCTACAAGGAAGGGGCGACAGTGTAGGTGTTCTCAAGATCACATGCGAGGCCAGAGGTAGCTACTAAATGGTCGATGCAACGAAATAAAATACGTGTGCTCTGCGGTGAATTGCCTCACTGCGGAGCACACGTGAGATCGGTGGAATCTGGTCTGTAAAGGCGGGATATGCACTAACCATAAGAAGGCGAACTTTTCCAACTCAGCTCCTGAACAGTTCATATACTGTGATAAACAGGGCAGCAGTGGATGAACGAATGGAGCGATAAAGTGGTAGAACATTTCCAAACGGACGGCACTATTTATAAATCAACTCGGTTTCAAGACGGTGCCGAAGCCTACAAAAATCTGTGGAAGTTCGAGCGCTCTCAAAATTCAAGGATTCGCAGACCTGGTCAAAAAGTTAGGGAGCTTTGGAAAAGAAGTGTGCTAGCAAAGGAGACCAGTCATAAGTGTCCCGAAAACTTGCTGGTGAGTAGGCTCGCTTTCCTACTCAGACAGGGATTAACGGGTGTGCAACTGCTTGTAAGGACATGATTTAGGATTTTGCCCCTTCCTGAGAGATTGTACCGTCTTTTGTCTGAGCAGTGGAGTGTTTCACTTCCAAGTGATGTGGGCGACAGACAGGCTATTAAAAGTAATGACAACTAACAAACTCTCAAAAGGGATATAAATAAGGAGCCACTGTAATCTTCGTATCCTAATCTCTGTAAATCTGTTTCTACAAGCGGGAGAAAAAGGTGGTTGATAGAAATTGTTAATGACTGGTCGCAAGTGTTCTCAAGAGTTGCAGCAGGGTAGACTCGCTGTCCTATCCAGACAGAGGTCGCATAAAGAATTTATTGGGAGCAGGTTGATGTATAAGGTGTGCCATAACAACTAACAAGTATGTGTTACAAACTTGTTTGGCTTTGTTTACTTTCAGCGTCGCATTGGCTAACGAAAAGGAAGCCAGGATAGTGTTGGGCAACTGAGCATTGTCCAGCTAGTCGTTAGCGTTGCAGATATGTCCGTAGTTATTCATTCCCCTGCTTCTAATTACCTGTTACAATGCGAAGTAGTAGAAACCCGCTTAAAGCCACTCACCGTTCTTTCAGGCACAACCAAATGTTGAACGAAGTGAAGGATGGGTGTCTCTAGAGTAGATTCATTTATGGCACCAGCACTTCCGCCACTGCCAGAAGTGAATCTGCCCACGAAATTCCGCCTTCGTTGAATCGGACCACCATCATGCAGCAGCAAAGCTTTGTACACGTACGCGTGCATCACAACAAAGAACGCATCTAGGAGAGATGACTTTTAATCCGAGCTCCACTCCTCAAGAATCTGGTTATACTCTGTGGTGATTTATAGGTTCATGTAGAAAGGGAGCTATAAGTTCATGTAGGAAGGTTCGCCCTTAGACCTCTGTTTTTTTNTTTTTTTAACTGTTCCTAACTGCTGCCAGCTTTTCCGGTGTTTGGACTTGTCTGAAGCAAAATTATGAAGTTATTCTTATTGCAGCGCCCACTTCGGCGCATGTTCTGTCCCCGTAGGCGGAGTTCCTCTGAGCTCATATGTGCTCTGTTGATCTTTCTCTCAAACCCCCACCTCTTCTGGTAATACGAATTTCGCGACAGACAGACGGATGCGAGCGCGTTACATATAGTAAGAATGTATGCGGTCTACACGGCACATTAAATACACGGTGCGCCATAATTATGGTAACAGAATAACTGTTGAAACCGCAATACACATTGATACATGTTGGATTCATTGACCCTGCTTACTATGCATCGCATCAACAAATTGAACGCACGGTCGATTATGGCTCAACGACGCTTCGGCTACTTTTAAGGCCCAGATTCCAGCTTAAACAATTATTGAAGGGGAAAACGGCTACATGGAACGACCTGACCCTTCTCAACTTCCTCGCCTCCTGTAATGAAAAACATACATGTGCTCTGGAATCAGCATTTTTTACGCCGTCTCCATCTTTTCTGATGTAAATTTGTCAAAGTTCGTGCCGCGTGCAAAAAGGGCACTTCATTTGGTCCTTCTGTCAAACTTCTTGTAAAAAAGTTCATAGGGCTCTCGAAACCTATCCGACTATTATTTGCAAGGGGAACAACTCTAATTTAATAAATAAATAATTGAAGTAGAGCATACATTCGATTCGGCAGTCATTTTTCTCGTGATTCTGCAGGTTTCGTAACGTAATCATTCCCAAGCGATTGCATTCTTAAAGGGGTCGTAATTGAGACATGGCGACCCTTTGAAGGGTGTTCGCTGACCTGTCCACGCATCGCATGCTAGAGGCTGTCATGCTAGAAATTTCGAAACGACGAACGATTCCGGAAAAGGACTCTTCAAATGCGCGCAAAGACGGAACGGCTGTTTGGTGGTTGCGAGGTTCCACCAATTTTGGAAAACTAACGAATTTAGAGCGTCAAAGCAGATATGTGAGCTAAGGTATATGATGAACATAAGAGAAGATGCAGATTCAAAAAACTCTCCGAAAAAAACGAGGAATGGCGGACTTCCCTGTAATCGTTACCATAATTGAGCGCTTCTACGAGGAAACAGAGAGGGCCTTGAAGCTCGAATCACGAACACTAATGTTTAAGGCGGATCGAGCGCAGTAGTCGGCTTCCGGTTGAACTTTATGGAACACCAAGGAAGGTACGGTGCAGGAGTACGGAATGCCAGATGAAATCGTCTAATCGAATTTGCAGAACAACACCAATTCTCGGTAATGAACATCTTCTTCGAGAAGAAAGCCAAGAGCCTTTGGAAATAGAGGAGCCCGGACACGAAAACTTGCAAGACAGATTGGTTATGTGTTCACCCACCGAGATTGTTTGCCGACGTCTCCATTATTGGGGATAAAATGATTGCGACCGCCTCTGATCACAGACTTCTACGCTCGGTATCCTCTGCGATGTCGGAAAAGAAGGTCTAGTTTACATCCGCAAAGAACACTCGTATGACGGACTTCCAATGACGGCATATATGCAGCGATGATTGCATCGTCAGACCTACAGATGAATGCTGGTAATAGCATCGATGCTGACTACGAAGAACTTATGGGGAAAATAACGCAGGCCGTGAAGGTACCGAGCACAGCCAAAGAACCAGCAAGGCGACGGCGTATACCGCCAGCAGCAGTGCAAATGATGACGAAGAGAGCGCGCATGAAACCCGAAGGACGAGTGCAAACCGCGGATTATAAGGAACTCTGTGAAGCGATCAGGAAGAAGATTGAATGCAACTATGAAGGCTACAGGCGAAAGCTTCGCGGAACAGAGAGAAGTCTGGAAGCTGTAGGAAGGGATAGTTGCCTCAGGCATCACATAGAATCTGCGCTCAAGAATAATACAGGTGTTAAGACGGCTTACCGCCGGATGAAAGAAATACGTACTAAGTTCTTTAAGAAATACGTACTAAGTTCTTTAAAAGCTTGTCTCCTCAAAGGTGGTAGTCGCGAGAGCCGATCAAACTACTGCAGATGAATCGATCCCAGATGTCATGTAAGAAGTGGAGTATGCACTAAAACATTAAGTCGGGGAAAAACTCAGGTTGGGACAGCATACGTCCCGAATAGATCTGAAGGCAGGAGGGTTGCCCTTCTTTGAAGAGCGTTACAGCAGATACTGCGCCGCGCTCAATGATCGTGACAGGACCGGAGGTATGGAGATCGATGGAGAACACTTGACATATCTGCGCTTTGTTGACGATTGAGTCATTTTTGCGCATGATGCATTAGAGCTCCAAGAGAAACTCGTACAACCACAGATGAAATTGAATGAAATCGGACTAAAATGGACTGGATGCACAACTGGTTCAGTCCTATGGCAACAACCAAAATAAATGGCAAAAAAATCGGCAAAGTAAAAAGCTTTAAGATCTCGCGCACCAGCTCAGCTTCACAGAAGACAGCAACGGAGAGTACAGCGCGCACAGGAAGGCAGTTTGGTCTAACTTCAACAAAATCCCAATGTTATCATTAGATGAAGACCCCCGGGGATGACGTGCGCAGGACTGGAACGGATGGTTCAAAGTCGACTTGTGTAAATGGCGAAGTTTACGAGGACAAGTCAGATATAGGCGATACAGGTGAATAATGGGCTCAAAGAAAACAAGCCTCGGCCTAATCATACAAGACACGACAAAAGGATTAATTCAATGAGGTTGCCTTTGCCGAGGAGTGGCGATGTCACGTGCATGCCACAGTTCTCATCGATGGCGTCCGTTTCGAGAGCTTACTGAAGTCTTCGAAAGAACTGAATAGTACACATCGAGGGACTCCTCTAAATTTGTGATAAAATGTTTGTAGGTTACTATTACTGCGCAAGGAAGGCGTGCCACTGGAGAACTTTTAAATATCTGCGACATTAGTCTCGAAAACCGTCCAATCAAATTTATGGCCCATCTAGAAGGTTGTTCATCGAGGGGTTAGGACCAATTTTGGGGTTTAAGAAATATTATTGAGAATCTTCTTCTTGCTGATTCATGCTCTACAAGTGCGAAAACTATTGTGCAGAAGACTGACCATAACTATTTGCAGAAATGGTGTCGGAAGCTATGAGAGAAGAAAATTTTGCGTTCTGGAATGGAGAAACGATTGTCGACGAAATGCTAGACTCTGAGAAAGGTGTATCGTCTCCTGAAAATAGAGCTGAAGTCTCCAAACCAAGCTGCTCCAAAGAATCAGTGGGTGCTAACATTTCCTTTCCATACCTAGTTTTCGTCACAATTGTGGATCCAACCTTTACGTTAAGAGCAAGCCCGAAGTGTACAAGTACCCAAAAACTAATGAACCCAAATCTGCTGAAGGGAAAACGAATGATAATGTTCGGGCTCGTCTGGACGATTCGCTATCCAGGATGCAGAATGATAACATGGAGGGGAAGTCTAGCTTTGTAGGTTCATGGCTCTTCTCTTTTGTCAGACTTTTCAAGTGCGAATATGAGAAAATTTCTGATATGGAAGCTGCTTTAAGGGACGTTACATGCGCCTCAAGAAAGACAAACTTCGTTACCAAGTCAACGTAAGTGGCCGACCTGCTAATGCTGCTTCAAATGTATTTGAAGGGATTTCTATTTTTGTAAATGGTTACACAGGCGAGTTTTCGAATCTATATTTACCTATCCGTATAGCATACATCTAAACGTAATAGTGGGAGCTTGGCTTCGACAACTTCCTCCTTTATTGCCGAGAATCAGACATTAGGCATTAGGAATCATGAATTTGTTTAAGAAATGCGATAAACCGAATTTTCAATCACGCATATGTGAGCATAAGTGAGCGTCACTTCAAGGGAATTGCAGCAAACCCTCGCTCTGTTGTTTTTTTCTCCTTCAACCTCAGTCTTCATTCTTTGTAATCCCTCCTACACATTCTGGAATGAGAAGGTCACATGGAGTTTTACATGTCAAACTGAATTCATTTTGTTTGGCAGAAGTTACTTTGAACGATTTCAGATGGCTGAGATGGCTTGACAGTTATTCTTCGATATTTGCTTATTTAATGGGAATTGTCCGTAGCTCTGCTGCGCATGTTGCAGGAATTATCTGGATTATCCACTAGCCATATACAAACCAGCGCGCACAGGCGTGCTGGTTGAAGTATTGGCTCGTTGATGCAGCTTTGGGCTTGACTGTTTTAGAACTAATGGATGGGAACTTCTTTTGAGTGATGAAAGAGAAAGGTGTAGTTGTGTTAAAGTTGTCAAGAATTATCAGCAGTTAACCTGGGCAATTCTGCTACATTGCCCTTACGATCATACCGAAGCAACTACACTGCGAGTGCTTGAGACTAATTGATTGATAATGCTCTACTCAGATTGATTAGTACCAAACATTTGGTCGCAAAAGCTATCAGCCTTGCTTCCTCCAGTTAGATATTGATGAAGATGTTGGGCAGTAGGCAAATAGGTGTGGTATTTAACTGACAACAGCCCTGGTCAGAACCATACCATTTAGGGAAGCCTGCTTTGGGTGTATAGTGTTCGCGTTGAATTTTCTAGGTCTGGATTCTCCAATTTTGATGAAAAATAGCATGATGATAGTAGCATGATGTAAAAAAGTAGTAATTATTAAATGGTGAAAAGCGAATGCTCGAAAACTCGTTATCCATCAGTTTTGCGTGTCCGAAACGTCTTGAGAAAATTTTGCCTCCTAACTTTGAGATCGTGTTTCTCGTGAGCGCGCTAAAGAAGGACTATAGATTCGATCACAGGAAAGCGCATTGTTGGTGGATGAATACAATAGCTGATAGGAACGTACTCGACGTTGTCGCTCGAAATGAGTGATCGTCGATCGGACGATGTGCCATCGACGACTACTGGAGCCTTCTGCTTCTCCACTAGGAGACCAGCAAGTCGCTTCGAAAGTAGGGCTCTGCAAATATCGCCTACTCCTTGGCTGAGCAGGAGCTCGAGTGCGAGTCATTGTATGTCAGAAGCTCCTCGACTGTAAGCGAATGGCGACATTCGGCTACATTATTGCTCAGGATAAAAAGTGAATGTGATATGAATCTACACATGAAATCGCAGTGCCTACCAACCCACGTGAGGCTACAGCCTGTTATAAAGGTGCTCGCGATAAGAAAGACATGAGCTCATTCTTCCTCTGCTCAATCGGGTGTTTTGCTGGGAGTCTTACCAGAATGTACTGCGGTAAACGCAGGAGTATTCTCTTATCAAGTGAGAGAGATGGTGTTTCGAGCCCTCATTTCACACTAATTACAAGGAAATTTTCGGTTGTAAGAGATAATGCTCGACCACCCCGCGCAAGGACGTCGATGGATGAACTGGAAAGGCTTGGTATAACCTGACCACCCCACTGCCCCCATATTCACCTAACCCCAACCTACAGCCTTACTTTCAGAAGCCCGGAGACCTGCTTATAGAGAGAAAATCCACCAACAATCGAGAAGTCAAGTAGGTGGTAGATGAATGATTTGCGTCACGCCTCTCTTCACATTGGAGGAATGGCATCAGTGCCCTGTCCGATTGATTGAGAGACAAGCTAAGAAGGGCCACTATCTTGATTATTGATCTAGGTTTTTGCTGTAGTTATTTCGTTTTGAAAAAAATCGGCTGAATTTTTTTTTAAACCTTCCGGGCATCGTTATAAGGATGACAGCGTGAAATATTGGACCGCTTGTGTCTACTTCCACTTTTCAATTTGTTTTTGTTCAGAAGCTCTCTTTGGAATCCCCTAATCTTTTTTAGTTGGTTTGAGAAAGTTCTTCTCGAACTTCTCTGTAATTGCGAGTTTTCAATACCTCTTTCGAATAGTATCCTTGCATAGGAAAATATTGATTGCCTCCATCTGGCATTACAGGATTGACGCTTACTGCTGAGCATTTCAGTAAAGTGTTGATATCGAATTTTTATTGCACACCAATTGTGGGTGACTCAAAAATCGCCTAGCGGAACCTCGACGTTGAGTTACAGACCCATCTGCGCTGGAGCTTCGAAACTTAATCCAACTACATGGGGGCGAATATCATTGCTATTACGAGTATGGTGTTACAACGTATATTATAGCGACTTCCTTGGCGAATGTTAAGGTATCTATTGTTCCCGCGTACTAGAGTGAATGATTAAAATGAATCGTTACTACAGACTTTTTTTTCAAGGTACAGAAAACACGTCAGAACGAGACATTTCTGAAGCCTGATTGGGTCGTCGATTGGTCAGTGCGCTTTTTTCTTCGTTCCCTACCATCTCGCATTCTTTCCTGTTTCAGCATTGCTGCTGGAAGGCTTTTAGAAGTAGACAAGTATATTCTGCTCCCTTCTTCGAAAGAAAGATCGATAGCAGAAGTATTCAGTAGAAATAATGAAGCTAAAGGTGATTTTTCTTTCTCATCTTTTTCAATTTGTGAGTCATCAGTTTGCTATGAAACAGTAGGATCTAATAATATTTTTGGATAGTCTACAGAATGACAAGTAAGTTTATCTCTCGAGGTGCTTGTACGCCATTCGTTCGCTCAGATGCTCATTTACCCGTTTATATTGTTGGTGCGATGAATAACGGCGATAGTGGGGAAAGGAGATTCACCTCTAGGCAATAGCATAAGAGGGTGCGAACATCCAAACATCTTATGTTGACAAGTGTAAGATAAGTGACGGTAGAGCGGAGAATTTGGCGCAATTAGTACCTAGCGAATAGAGAAAGATTGCTAGAGTACTTGCTTTCGACAGAATCCGACAAGCCTTAAATGGAAGGTAGAATTCAGCACAGGGAAAACAGTCCAACAAATTGAACGAGCACCAAATCCAAACCCGCTCAAGGAAGTTGCAGTTGGAGACGACGAGCTTGAAGCGGTACTCGTGCGATAACTTTTTAACACCTGTCCAATTTTTGCACTTGGAAGAAAACGCGAACCCAACCAGATCACAAAGTGTAAAATATTGTAGTTAAGTGTATAAAGGTAAGGAAACGGAGCGAAGAGTAAGAAAGTGAAGTGAGCAAAAAAGTTTTGAACAAATAAAATAAATAAAATTTTTACGTCATCTGATGTTTTGACATTGAGGTATGGAGTGAAGTAGACACTCTCATTTCCCTTCAAGCCTTAGAGAACAATCAAAATGGTGGGTTGTGTAGGCGTTCGTTGTCGAGAAGCTCACTAAACGCTCTCAGGAAACCAGTTTGACTAATTCGTACTTTTGCAAGACTTTGCAAGACTCCAACACCTTGAGGAGAGGTCATTTGAAGCTGTTTAAACTCCAACTCGTTTGGGAGGGCTCAGCTCATAAGTTTCTCCACTCTTCAACCCCTTCTCCTCTTCCCCTTTACACTCCTGCACCAGAAACCTCAAGTAGAAAATTTAAACTTTTACGATCCTGCACATATACTTCCTGCCAGGATGCATCTGCACCGAGCATCGAAACCCTCATTCTACAATGCTACTTCTTTTCTAGCATTTATTTCTCGTTACTAGGAATTCCATTGTTGCTGACAATCTTCTCCCCAAGTTGATCGCATCAAAGCATCTCGCTTCTCGCAGCGTCTATTTCTACCAATGATACACAACTTTTTCATGTTTAAAGAGTAACGCTTCTCCTCGATGTTTTTCCTCGATGCTTACTATTCCAGTGTTGCTATCATTTTGATTACTTATCTTTCTCTAGCTCATTGACGATATGTAGACAGCATAATGACCATCGAATTTTGCACCTACATAGTCATGAAATGACGCTCCTCTACATAAGTTTGCACAACCCCTCCCAAGGCAGAGTTTGCTCAAAGTAGTGAAAAGTGATATGAGTAGAAAGAGTGCGATCACAGCTGTAACACTTGAGAGCACTCATTATGGGACCAAGTTGAACGCTGAGAGCGTAACATAGCGAAAGTAGGGAATACAGCATGACTCAGCGTCATGGTGCCCCCAGCTGTAACGTCGTAGAGTAACTAGATTTACAAAAAATCATAATACTATATATAAGATAGAAATATTAACGTAAGAAAAAAAAATCATTAGGTGCAACAGGAGCAACCAAGGTTCTTCCCCTAATCACAATAGGATCGTGATGCAACATGCTCATGATAACTGGTGTTAATCTAGAGAGAACAACGTGCTTATTAACCAACTCAACTGCACAACAGCAACGACCACAGCAATGCTGTAGTGACTGAATACATCATCCGCTGAACTCCCGAACAATGAGGTGATGGGGGATACGCAAATGAATCGGCGCAGTCACTTTGTCACGGCGGCAGTGACGCCCTGCTCCTCGCTGTAGGTGGGCATCGAGATTCGCCGCGCTCAGGAGTGGCGTCGCTGTCGGCGTGAATGTCTGAACGGGGTCTTACGCGGTGCTCGCTCCCGCCCTTGTCACGCGGGATGTTGCTTTGGCCCTTGCAGCCCCTACGTTGCTCCTACACCTCAACCATCGCCCTACACGCGTTACGTCCTACAACATTGGTACGCCAATAAGAATCGAAAGGAAGAGATGGTAAAAAGAATGTATGCATATATACCTAGAGAAAACAATGAATACTTCATGAATAAAAGTTACGATGATGACCACTAAACCTATGTATCAGAAAGATCAAATCCAGCGCATTAAGTCTAACGAGAGGTGAAGTGACTCGGGGCCGTTCTGCGTCTTCGGGCTTTCATGCTCGTGTCGGTCACTACGCATTCGGTCCGATTGCATCATGTCTCCATCCTCGAGCGGGTTCGACGGCAGGACGACGGGCAGTGGCAACCGGATTCGATGACGACATGCAGACGCACTGCCGGATGTTTTTAAGCCAGAGCACGCGTCTAGTATAACCGGCGCCCGCACGCCCTACCAGGCTGACCTTCAAGAAGTCGGGTGGAAGTCACGACACACTCCATCTCTAATTGTCGTCTTCGCCGTCAAATGAACCGAGTTTGTAAGCAGGATTATGACGTTGGATTGCGTGATAAGTAGTCCTTTTTTATCTCGGATATCATGATGAAGAACCCTTTCAGGCTGACAATGCAACAGAAATTCATTTTGAACCTTGTATGCAGTTTAGCGATTTGAGCAATTAAAAAAATGCGCAATATCCAAAGATGCGTCCGCCTCTTGCCGGCCGATCGACACATGTGAGACTGTCTTGAGCAGCTGGAGGCAGGTGCAGTGACTATTGCTTTGTTAATAGTTCTGTTGACGAAGCAGGTAAACAGCATCTTATCGGCACGTAATGAAGAGAATCGGTAATCGATAGTAGAGTAAACGGTGTCTACCGCTAGCTGGACGCCAAAAGTGGGTAGATGAAATTGATGGATTGATTGAACACTAGAACATTGGCTTCTTTGCTGTTCATTTCTCTTGAAAAAAAAATTCCAATAAGTTCAGCTAATAAACAAGTGGTTACTTTGATTTCAAGGGTAAATCCCCATGTTATAGATGGGGCTCAAGCATATCTGGTGATGGTGTATCGCCACAGCTTCTTCCGAACACTTGCAGGATGCTCTTTTTCAGAATCCAGCATCGGTGGGTCTATCTTTGACGCACGCGACCCGAAATTTTTGGAGGAGTACTACGCAAGGTGAGATACAGCATAGAGTATAGACCTTATGTTTCGCCGTGTTTTTGAGCACAAACATTAGAAATGCGCTGTTGTTCATTCTAGCTAACATTTAGCTGAATAAGCTTCGAGGATATTGCTCTCAAAATATGTAACACTCCTAGGCAATGAGGTCAATGAAGTACTCGTCTGAACAACGTTGGTTCGAATATTAGCGAAGCAACCAACTTTCAAATGCGCTTGCAGTCTTGCGGTCTACTAAAAATTTAGAGAATGAGAACTGGATCATGGCTGGGGTCGGGGAACTTTTCCCTTGTCACGGCGTCACACACGCCGCACCCGCCGCGTATCGCAGGATTGCGATGGAAGATTGGAGCGCGCAATTTGTGAGGTAGGGAGTCCTTTGATTATTTGAATTGGCTGACCGCTTTCTTCAATTTTAATGCAGTCCTGATCACCGCTTACATAGGAGGAGTCATTTTAATTAATCAAGTTTAATAAACATGAAAACGAAAAAGAAACAGAAGAAAAACGATCAAATTCAGTAAAAAAAGCAAGGCAGTCAACGAAATATATCGCGTCCTATCGATTTGCGGGAGGCGGAGGGAGTACGGTAATTGCAGTGACATTTGCCGCATGCCGCAAGGGAGTATGCCGCGATAGGGGTGAAGTTCCGTTACCCATTATGGCTGTGTAGATTAACGACGATAACAAGTGGTGCGCTACCGTCCTTGTTGTCCAAGTAAGCAATTTCCAAACCCCAAATGGATACATGGATCGGACGATTTGGCTTGCCTGATCAAGCCGTTGTCTGTCTAGACAGGGCGTAATAAGGGCTCTCAACACTTTTTGGCCGGCACAGGCACTTACAAGGGAAGGATTCTTGGTCGCAGTAGCCGTTCAAGACGAGATTTATCCCCCCGTGGGTGATCTCAAATCTGTGTTCTGAATCTGCTAAAGGATTTGAGAAGAAAGTTGCGGGACCGTTGTGCCTCCCTGTATTATACCACAGTAACGAACGGATGACCGAGCCGAAAAAAGCCGTAACTATGCAACGGTGGCGCAGCTGGTAGGCATGACATCAAGGCTCGATTCCTTGATGCATGTGCTCGTTTTACTTTCGCATGAAATGCGTCCTAAACGCTTGCAAAGCGTTTTTGGGCATCTAAGGAGCTCCCTCACAATTTAGGAGTCTAAGGAATAAGAATTCGATAAAAAAGTTTTACCACTACTGACCGAATATACTGACCGAATATATATAGTAGCGGCCAAAAATCTCCGGTGAAACGCTCTTCCAATCATATCTTTTCACCTACTTCATGAAATCACAGGAAGTTTTGACCATCTGTGACCCCGTCCTCGTTTGTATTCATATTTCATTTTTTTTCACAATGCTACTCATCAATCGATAAAATCCAAAAGTCCGGTGAAACGCTCTTTCAATCGTATCTTTTCACCTACTTCATGAAATCACAGGCTTTATTATGCTAATCAGATACATATTGTGAATATTTCCCACCTGGTACGTTGGTGAGACTTAACTCGAATTCAATGAGAAATACAGATAGCATTGGCCTAAGAAAGAACGTTAACTTCAGATTAACAACATTTCATACACCAAAATTATCAATATTCACTAGTAAATCCCCGACTTCTGGTGACAGCAGCGCAACGGGGGGCATTGAGTTGGCTACTTTCTGGATGTTAGACGATAGCATGGTTCCACTCCTCCGCTAATTGTTTGAATTTTTGGTCATCGTTTCTACAAGGTTAATTCGTACAACACCTCTTAAGCTCTTCCCACATGTGCTTTTTAGGACTCAGATCCGGTGACTGGCTTGGCCACTACAGAAGTCTGATTCGCTGTTGGCTGAAGGCCTCCTTCACAACCATTGGGGTGGGTTCAGGATCGTTATCCTGCTGTGAAATCCACCTAGATGCACTGCTGGAACTACAGCAAGGCGATGTCGACCATCATGTTCTTGTAGAACTCCTCTGTCATGGTGCCATCAATTCTAAAATAGGGTCCATTCCGTTTTAAGATAGGGAACCGTATACGATCACACTTCCACGACCGTGCTCTGTTGTAGGTAAGACGACTTCGGATTAAACCTTTCTCCAGCTGAACGTCGTACGTACCGTATGCTATATCTTCCAAACAAATTGAACTTACTCTCATCTGTAAAAAGAACTTTGGTCAGTCGAGGTCCAGTTGAGGTTGAAGAGCGCTTCACTCTAGCTCTCCTATTCCTTGGACTGATAAGCGGCTTTTTTGCTAAACGTCTCCCGTGAATACCTGAATTACTTAAGCATCTTCTTACCGTCCTCCTGCTAAGATTGATGCCATCGCTAGCGCTGAATTCGGTGGCTATGTCAGCCTTCGACCGACGTATGATCTTATCCAGTGCTGAAGAAGTGCACCGGGCCCCTCCCGTCCTCTCAGCATTGCATACAGTTTTTCTGACCTGATAGCGCTGTAAAATCGAAGAGATCGTCTGCTGCGGAATATTCAAAATTCTCGAAATGGCCGTGACTTTCATACCTGATTGCTTCATGTCTACTGCCTGCTGGACTCCCTGATTGACTTCTGTCCTTCTGTGCATGTCTGTAGAGCGCAAATAAGATTTAAAAATGCAATTATTGCTAACCTTTCAATCAGGAAAAATCGCTTCACTCGTAAAACTGGCCGCTCGCGTGATTATATGCTTTGTAATTAGTCACGTGACCTCAATTTCAAAGCCAAGAAGTATAAACAGGTTCGAATAACGGTGAGGGTCGATATATACGAATTTTTCTTGAATCCTTCTATTAGGGAAAAGTTACGATTGAAAAGGCGTTTCACTGAAAACTTTTGGCCGCTACTGTACATGTACGTCTCCCTACCCCGAACAGTCGAGACAGTGTTTCGAAATCTTCGGCAGTTCCGTGCACCACTTACGATAGACGGCGATCGAAAGACTCTTCCGACTATAGTCCTCACGGGAGGGTTACGGTCCACACATTTTAGGAGTACTGTCAGCGCACGGCTGTACCCGAAACCCTGGATCAAGACTTCCTTGAAGTTGTCCCCTATGGACCTTCATTGTTGGTTTGATTCGGTATCTAGTGGAAATGACTCGTGTAATGGGACTCCTATATAAATTTTATGATAACTTATCCTTCCAACTTATCCGCTAATCTGCATAGGCAGGCAGATCGGTCACCTTGTTCCGCACCTGATAGTTGCAACCACATCAGACATCGTAAGTTGACAGTAATGGACTGATTTGAAACCTCACGCTCACTTGATTTCCTTGAACGGATTCTGTCGCGATGATACAAAACGTGTTGCTCCCGTACGAGAGGGTGCGGCTTCTTTTGACACCCGAACTATAGAATGGACTCTTTCCCCAGCACCATAGAATTGGAGCTCATGGGCCAGATCACAAACTAAAGGCTACGTTTCACTTCGCAACCTCTACATCCCCACAAACGCACGACGTTTCTTTCGCGAATTTACGGGTCCATCGTCGCTAACCTCATCGACCGCAGAGGATCATTGTTATCGCCTTTCACGAACTCGACTTCCTCGCAAAGGATAACTGGCTTGTTTTTACAGCATCGAAAAGCACGGTTCAAAACTTCATCACCATCTTTTCCTAGATGCTGCCTACATTATGCTGCAAGAACGAAAGTCCTCCATCAAGTATGATGACACCACTTGCAGTCAGAAGATTCGTTGGGTAACTTGTTAGAGAGCTTTTGATCCGATGAATCATCTGGAATCACTCTCCTTGAAGCCCTTCTGAGCCGACTTTAGCAAATGTGTAGAATGCCTGTTTTGCTCGAATGTAGCTCCACCCTTATTCGGCCGGTGAGGGGCAATGAAAACTTTCCTTGTAACACCTTTTCAGTGTTCCTAAATTGGAAAAGGAATCCGTAGTTACCAACATTGGGCCTAAAAACGTTTGGCAAGCGTTTAGGACGCATAACATGGGCAAGCGAAACGAGCACATGCATCAAGGAATGGAACCTTGACGTCATGTCTACCAGTCCATCGCCATATCAGCTGCACCACCGTTGCACAGTTACGACTTTGTTCGGCTCGGTGATTCGTTCGTCACTGTGGTATAACACAGGGAGGCATCGGTCCCTTAAGTTTATTCCCAGAATCGTTCAACAGATTTGGAACACTGATTTAAGATCAGGGTTCAAACCACCTACATACGTCTGTATACATCTCAACTTGAATAGCTACTGCGACCAAGTATCCTTGCCCTGTTAGTGGACATGTGATGCCGATCTTGTTATTACTGTACTGCTCACATAACGAGACGAATAGTACGCCTTATTGAGAAACACGCAGACGGACACCACGTACAACCCCTTTCCTGCTACTTTTTTGAAGTCTTATTTTATTGAAATTCAACTATTTTTGCGCTCTTGTTCACCGCCCCTGCACATCTCTACACTATGGCTTCCGTTATTTCGCTTGAAATAGATAACTCAAAATTGTCGTAAACTGTAGTCTTTGTGTATAGCAAATACGCAATTGAGCTTCATTCAGCGTCAGCACCATTTCATAATGTCCATGCACTCTTGCATTCAAATTCTAAATGGTTTTTCAAAGTATGTTGATCGATGCCAGGATTTTTTTGGTCTGAACTTCGAACTGCAGAACTTGGCTTTTCCTACAGAGGACAGCTTCATAATTACATTGCTCTTTACCAGCTTGGAGTGTTATTATAGATCACGCCTTCATTTGATATCAACCTTAGCGCAAGAAATGAAGGACTGGGTGAAAACAATGCGTGAAACGGACACTCCCAATTTTTCTGGCCGTGTTAGCCTGAAATATTTGTCGTCTCCAGATTTTGTGAGGTGAGTTCCTGTAATCACACGGTGTCACATGGTTGAAGAACTGAAGACGAAATGAAAATTTTAAGATGGGTTGTCGTACAATTACAGACTAGCTTCGAAAATAATTTTTCACATTGATTTGGATTGTTTCTTCGTCTCAGTGGCTTTGAGGGATCGACCGGATTTGATTGGTAAACCTGTAGCGATTACTCATAGCAAGGTATGTTTTTTTTTAATTTGTATATGATAGTTCAACGATTTGGTTGTTAAAATTCTGCCGTGTTAGTAAATCGGAAACCACGACATTCAGAAATTCCTCTTTCAGGCCTCTGAGAGAAGCTTTCAGAATAATGTTTTCTATATTTGAATCTATATAATTCAATAGGCTGTGCTCAATTTTTTTTGTGAGTATCAGCATTATAGGGTGTTTCTGCGGGGTTTTCGGAGTTAGCTTCCGTTAGCTATGCAGCTCGCGAATATGGCTTAAGGAATGGAATGATTGTACGTGATGCTATAAAGCTGTGCCCGAATCTGGTATGCTTGCCATACCTTTTTGACGAATATCGTGCCGTCTCCAAAGCTATCTATACAATTGTTGCTCGGTCAGTCGGTTTTAAACATTGAACACATTCCATCCAATAGACATACTGAAATTCTGTTGATAAAGTGAAAGAATATTCTGGAGGTTATGGACACTGGGAGCTTATCTATTAATGGTACTGAGTCGGATGATGATCTTGCTTTGCTTTCAGATATACCCTTGAGATAAGAGCTGTTTCTTGCGATGAGATGTATGTTGACTGCACAAAGTTTTTCGACGAAGTAGGTTTTCCATTGTTTCTGACAACGTTCTAGTTGGAAAGTAGACGCAAATGCTTTGTTCAACAGCTGTGGAATCTCAAGGTCAGCATATTTCGCTAGCGAAAGTGATAGAGAGCACGGTGCTCTGAAAACACGTGTACTGTTCGAGCCTAGCCCGAGATTAAAGTTTTGCCTGCAGCGCTGTGAGATTAGCCTCCGAATTGTGCTGCTATTTGATTTTTGCTATTTAAGAAGACGAAATAATGTGAGTATGAAAATACGGCTACTGTGAAGGGATCGAATGTTACTAGGATAAAGTGAGGAGAGAATAAAATCAGCGTGAAAAGCAGAAATTAAAATGATTCCTAAAGGGAAAGAGCTGTAAAAAAAAAGGAAAAAGAATTTATAGGAAAGCATAACACGAGGGTCATCCCAGTAACTTTTCCAAGTGAACTTTAGTGAAGGAACAAAGAATGGAACCCTGCAGAGCCGATTTCTGATTATAACAAAAAGAGTTTGAACTCCGTTGTTGCGCCTTACAATCAGTGACAGCAAAGAGTTAATAATATAGGCAGTATGAATATGTGTTAAGTTGCTCTTCTTTCATGAAGAACGTGAGTTATCTAGCATATCCTCTCAATTTCAATCGAGCTCGATTGAAAAGAGGATATGAATTTTAAAAATGTAGAGAGGGAAAACTCTGTAACTTTTTTTTACCATACATACAAATGCAATTCAGAACAAGTAGGAATATGAATAATCTTGGTGGAACGGTAGTGAGCAATTAGTCGTCCACGTGCTACGGAATTAGAAGGTCTAAAAAGCTACCACAGAACTGGCGGGCGCCTTTTTACAGACAAGGGATGATTGCCAAGTTATGGCAAGCGGATCATCGCACCCTGGGGCACTGCGTGTCCAACGGTGTTTACTGCAGCAAGCTTGTAAGAGTTCCGTACGTCGGATCAAGGTTAATGACTGCTTTCTCGTTATCGTACATTCCAGGTACGTTTTCCCGCTGACATCTCCGCCGAACTGGAACATGGCTCTAATCTGCCAAATTGGAACATTGCTTCAACGGTGTTGCCGTCTTTCTTTTGAATGTCCTGATTTCAACAAGATTGAATATCACGACACGGTGTCATCCGTTTGGCTGCTTTCGAGTAGACACCTTTCCTTCTTCGTAGGTAATCGCAATGGTCGAGATTCCTGCTTTGTCTCCCTTTTGCTGAGAATGTAAAGGCAGAAGACATCGATGGCCGTTATTCAAGGAAGACCGTCGAACCGTCCGCAGCACATCCGCGAATCTTCCCCATTGGCTATCATTCTACGGTGCGACAGTGGCGGTATCATCAATGTCCTTGGCGATAAGCTGCATTTGAGAGAGTCCACGCACCACACCTTTTTTAAGTTGTGACTGATTCCACAGGGCTAGTATAGGACAAGGTTGTATACGGCGTGGTCTCAGCTGAACCAGTACGGATCCATCATAATAACCGTTCTGTGGAGCTCCGACTCGACATTCTTTCGAAGTGACCGGGTACGGTGATGAGGTATATTATGTACGTGATAACCTCCATTCCAAGACTAATTCGTCAAATTATGGTTAGGAGTGTAACGTCGTGCGACATCCTTCATCTCATTCCGTGAGGGGTGCGAAAGCAACGTTTCTTATCCCAGCCACCGAACTCAGTTGATAAAATATGGATAGAGCTATAGGGTCGTGCCAAGAAGTCTGACCATCGGACAAACTTCGGATACATGGGATCGGGATACGTCTATAACAAACAAACTATTTTTTATGATAACGAATTTTGCGAAGCCACAGAAGGGGCGGCAGGGATAACATTTGCAGGGTTGCGTTGGTCGAGTACTGCACTTCCACACCTTAACTTATCATAAATCATAGGCAGCGCCAGTCAGCACGACGCGCATCTGTTGTCAGCGAAAAAAAANAAAAAAAAGATACTAGAATTAGTTCCTTCGAGAATTACTATATAATGTCCTTCAGTCGTAATAAAGATATCTTCTGAACACGCTCCGACTCCAGGTCCTTTTACGCAACTCTTTGATCGAATGGATGGCGCAGATGTTGGTGTAAGACCAAACAGCACGCCATTAAAATGAAATGGACCGTTTGTTGCTGTGCAACTGCTTATTACGCCTTTTTTGAGCGGTAGCAGTAGCCGCCTGCCTGATCAAGAGATGAGAACCATCTCTTCACTTGCAAATTTTGAGGGTTAGATCAGCTACGCTTCCGAAACAATGCTGGGTAACAATTTTCCTTGATTCGTTCACCCCTCGATAGTCTATAGAGAAATGTGTATTGCCGACCTTTTTATCTACCAATAGTCGTTGGAGTTGTCTGGCCTGACGAATTGTATTGCGATTTCTCAGATCTGAAAGCACATCTGCTTGTTGCATTCGCACGTCATATGATGTATGATGTAGGTTTCGTTTTCTGGCGGAGTCAGTGTTCCGCACATCAACGTGTTCTACCGAAATGGTGTGGTCAGCTTCAGAATCATCCTTGCAAAAGTTTCATTGAACTCTACAAGGCTGCCGACAGGATCCTTCGGCAATGGTCTTGAACTATGATTTTACGTGTTATATCGACCAAAACTTCCATTCGTTTGACTTTGGTTCGGCAACATGTATTTCTATTGCCACTTATACCACTTGTCATGTCTGAAAACCTTGGAGGATCGATGGAACAGTCATCTGATCACTCTCCGAGCGTCTCACCTCTTCTAATTAATCAGATCTGGGAATCACGGTTCGTAATAGAGAACTTGATTTTATTCGTAAGAAGAAGAACACCTCTGAAGGATTACGAGAATAAGTGACCATTCCATTCCCAAACTTCTTTGAGCTATCTGACTCAATTTCTTCTATAGTTTCGAATGGTATAACTACCGTTTCGAACACCTTTGCATGTTCTGTCGAGATTATTGCCTTTCGCAATGGCTTTGGCCAGAATCAAACCTCAGTTGGGTTTCCACAACAATCAGGACATTAGTTCCCAAGTAGAGATAGAGTATTCTTTTTGCAAGTACCCAAGTTTGACTCTCAATAAATCTTGGCATGGCTTTGAATAAATCTCGTAAAAATTTGATAATTCCTGCAGCAAGATGATGAAAAAGCTTCGACTTACGTTTCGGCTTCATCGGGATCTTCAGAGTCTGGAAACTCAGAAAATAATTGCTATCCATCCTTCGTTCAACAACTAAATTTCCAAAAATCGGTGCCCCAGACCCGGTGCCTCTGAGCAGGCATGATAACCACAAACACTTTTCCCACCTCAAAAAAACCGTTCTTCTAGTCCATTACCGCAAGAAGACCTGTTGTCTCTTGAGGTCGGTACAAAGCGTCTGTGGTTATCATGCCTGTTTAGAAAACCTAGGTCTAGGACAACGGTTGTTTTAGAAGTTTCAATTGTTGAATGAAGGATGGTGAGCAATACTTTTGAGTTTCCGTACCTTGACGAAGTAGATGAAGCGAAACGTGAATCGGAAAAAGCTCGTTCATCATCGTGGTTGCAGGTTTTATCAAATTTTTACGAGATTTGTTATCTTTGCATTTTTGGATATGCATAGTCACTGGAAAATTGTTCGCTTCTTGAACACCGGAAGAAATTCCATTCAGTTGGCTAATGCGTCGAATCCCTCAGAGTCACTACCATTAGGACTTCGCCATCTGCGTCAGTGCCTTGAACTCTAGCTTCTTTTAGCAGAACAGCTGGTAGAAGGAGAAATATTGATCCCGTATCTTTAACGCTCTGACTTTATGACCAAAGATCCCCATATGTAGAGTGTTATTTTCCCTACCGCTGCTGTGCTTGAATCTGGCCGTGACTTTCGGATGCGGACAGAGGGTATATATCCGTTACCCTGATGACTGATCCGTAGCCTTCTCTGCCAGAAAATATTCTTTCAAAATGGATTCGTTAGGGCAGTAAGCACTATAATGACTATTGCCACCACATTTATGGCATTTTGGCGGTCCCTTGCCCACAAATTCTTCCAACACGTAGGCAAAAGTGTACGCGTTAAGGCTAAATCATGAAAACAAGGCTCGAGCTCACAAACTTCCTTTGTTTTATCTGATTGGCAGTAAACCCATTCTACACTATGCTTTTCTCGTGAACAACGTAACTATCGTTCTGCCATAATTACGCCGTCGATTTGCACCGTCAAAGAATCCGAGCAATCGTCATCTCTCATTGTTCGAATGTATCGGGAATCATTGTTTCAAAGACCATCGCAGATTCACCGCTCGGAACGTTCTACAATTATTTTCGTAACTTTTGTGTTCTTTTTTCAAGGACAATCAGAAATTATCTGTGCTTCAATCTGGCACCATGACTGCAGAAAACTGCAGAGCAGATGTCGATGTTTACTAGATTGATGAGTAGCATTGTGAAAAAACTTAAACAGGAATACAAACGAGGACGGCGTCGCAGGTGGTCAAAACTTTTTATGTCAGGTCACTCGAGCGAAGCTTCCAGGATACCCTCTTGGATCTCACACTGCATGATTTGCCATGTGTTAGAGCATACGAGGGTTGTCCTTTGTATTTCGGGATTGAGCAACCCTAGTGTTGCAATCTGGCAGCTGACAGCTCTATCGTGAAGTTTGACCTTTTTGAGGGAGTACTTAGAATGGTTTGACATATGAGCGCTCCTTGTGTTGTTTACACTACACTAACATAAAAAATTTACTCAGGCCCTCGGCGCCCCCCCCCCCCCCCC